TCCACAGTGATGCCCACACGCACCGCCCAATGATTGCCCATTCACTGCCGCCGCCTACCTGACTCCGACGCATCGCCCACCGCCATGTTAACCTTCAATGCCACCTTGTCACAGGTAAGGGACGCCATGCTTCCGTAATGTTTCCACAGTGATGCCCACACGCACCGCCCAATGATTGCCCATTCACTGCCGCCGCCTACCTGACTCCGACGCATCGCCCACCGCCATGTTAATCTTCAATGCCACCTTGTCACAGGTAAGGGACGCCATGCTTCCGTAATGTTTCCACAGTGATGCCCACACGCACCGCCCAATGATTGCCCATTCACTGCCGCCGCCTACCTGACTCCGACGCATCGCCCACCGCCATGTTCCCAGGTGAGTGACGCCATTGTTCTATAATGGTACTTTACAGTTTAGCGCACATGCAGCGTCCAATGCTTGTCCATTCACTGCCGCCGCCTACCTGACTCCGACGCATCGCCCACCGCCATGTTCCCAGGTGAGTGACGCCATTGTTCTGTAATGTTACTACAATGATTGCCCATTCACTGCCGCCGCCTACCTGACTCCGACGCATCGCCCACCGCCATGTTAACCTTCAATGCCACCTTGTCACAGGTAAGGGACGCCATGCTTCCGTAATGTTTCCACAGTGATGCCCACACGCACCGCCCAATGATTGCCCATTCACTGCCGCCGCCTACCTGACTCCGACGCATCGCCCACCGCCATGTTCCCAGGTGAGTGACGCCATTGTTCTATAATGTTACTTTACAGTTTAGCGCACATGCAGCGTCCAATGCTTGTCCATTCACTGCCGCCACGTACCGTACTCCAACGCATCGCCAACCGCCATGTTCACAGGTAAGCGACGGCATGCTTCCGTAATGCGTGCGTGATGAGTGCAGAACTTCCCTCTCACACCCGGATGTGTGTTGTCCGCTGTATCGCCATGGGTACCACCGAGCACCGGTGAATCATCATGTCACCTTGCCAGGTGAGTGCGGTCTTCGATTACTAACTGTCGTAGGCTTTCCCACGTTGTATCGCAATTGCCACGGTTTGCCGCGGGCTGGGGAGAACAAGTTGTCGTCGCATCTGTATGTGGTGTAGGTCCTCCGGTTCTCACCTTTTTGCTGCTGTGAACGACCCAACGGCCCTTTTCAGGGCCACCCCTGTTCTATGTCCCCGCGTCTCCCCTAAACGGGTTGCAGCACGGGAAACATACGTTCAGGGGTGGGGTCGGTAACCGTCGGAACTTCAATTGTCAGTCACCATGCACTTCACTTTATGTTAATGTTTGACACATCATTGTGTATTTTGTGCGTATCAGCCCTGGGAAACCATTTTCCAGTGTTCACCCTTGGTGGGTTCAGAGCTAGATGCACGCTCACTCACCTAGCGGTGGACATTTCTAAATGGTCCAAACGTCCGTCATGTTCATAGGCAGTATTTCACCGATATCACTAACCATTGACCTACGACGCCGGCTATCACGTATAACGGTAACTTGCATGCATGTTTCCCCACCTCTCACAGGGCGCTAAGTCACCGCTGCGCATTGAGTAAGGAGGCAGTGATCATTACATGAACCAGCGTCCCTGGGACGCTTGTTTGATCTGCGGTGCCTATGTAACAAACCTTCCATGATTTGTAGCAGGGTGAACGGCAGCAGCGCAGGCGTATATTGCACCTTTCATATACTTCATCGCATAAGGAAGTAAGACGCACCGACGGGCATACATTGAAAGGAGGCTGCGGAGGTAACAGTGTACACATAATAAAGCCTGAGGGGGGAAGCAAGTGTCGAACCGAAAATATAAATACTAACGCTTCGCAAAGGCGAAAGGGACACCTATGCGTTTCGCAAGGAAGCACGTGCCGGGATTACTCCGTAAAGAGACAGTGCATGCACTATACATCGGTGTGGTTGATGTAGTGCGGATGACGTATATGAACGCGTAGGAATGTTACTTTGCGCGTGCGCTACTTCCGTTGTTCGCTGCACAGAAGAGAGCAAGTGTTACATGATGCATGCGCAGCGAACGCAATACCGGCAAGACTTCCATGTGCTTGATAACTACCTCTGATGCCATGATGTCTTGCACTTTTGATGCCGCTTGTGCTTACGGTGTTCCTGTGCATCACCGTATTCATGGCGGGTTGCTGAACTTCCGTCTTTCCGGTACGAGAAGTGCATTCTTTGACACAAGTATCCGTATGCTGCTGTCTGCTCACGACTAAGCATTGCTTTCAAACAACGTGGATGAGTTGTAGCACATCAGAATCAGATTCAGATGGACTGGAACGATAGCAGAATCCCTTGAGTGTTCCTTCTTGAGCAAATCGTTGAGCCAGGAAATGATGAGGTGTTAGTTCTTCATAGATATAAAACGAAACACCCGAAACACACCCTGGTCAACCAACTACTGCCCACGTTCCATGCAATAGCAGTCCGCGCTGTGTAGGTTACGTGAAGTAAGAAAGAAGTAGTAAGTAAATGGAAGAGAAAGGGGAATGAAAGTCATTAAAATGACGCATAACACCAAAGAGTGAAGATAATGACAGAATAAGAACTAAAAGTTTGAAGATGGATATGGTCAGGAGAAGGGAAAGGTTTCGTGTTGCCACCCAAGAGCGTCTAACTGACGCTCGAAACCCTTACCCGTAGGTTCACTGACTACATTTTCTGGAAGCGAGTTCCAGCGCTCGATAACTCTACGCGATAACCGAGTTTCCGCCCTGATCCCGTCAGAACGCGGCTTGTGTAGCTTCATGGGATGACCGCGAAGACAAGGCAACCTAGCCGGGCTAAATAGCCAGCGCAAGTCCGGTCCAACCTTCCCTGTTAAAAGAGGGTAAGTAAGGATTAGGTCTCCTCGAAGCCGTCGGTAGTGCATTGAATACATACCCAAGCTAAGTAGACGCTCGGGGTACGATCCCCGGTGTGCCTTCGCTAGACATATACATGCATAATATATATATATATATATATATATATGTGCCCCCTGATAACCGTGTTGTTGCATTCTTGATGCCTCTTCACGGCAGTTTCGCTAGACCAACTTACGCTTACAATAAGTCTTTTTAAGCCGCTTTACGTTATTCCACGTATTTCGGTTTCCTCGGCATAAGTTATCACTCTTATACGGTCATATCACGTAGGTAACATTATTCACGCTTACCTTCCTTAACTCTGTCGCCCATTGGTATCAGTTCTACCTAACTTGTGGACATATTTCCATATCTCGGCTTTGTTGCCAACAAAGTTACTTGATATGTTTATATACCTTAGAGTTTATGCCACTGTATCTGTATGCATGACCGCATTGGCTTTCCTTTCATGTTGCAGTTCCAGGTCATTGGCCGCTCCTTCATAACCCCGTTGTGGCAGCGGTTGATGTGAATGTTGACAACGTGACTACCTGCTAAGTACACACCACCTCGTCCATACCCCCTACAGGATACCGTTGGTCGAGGATGGGGGGAAGAGGTAAACCGTTCGTGTGACCGTGCTAGACACGAAGAGAGGTCACATGCACTCCGTGTACAGCGGTATACCGTCAAGCCAACGACATGTGTGCTCTTCATTTCCGATATACCGGGTGCTTGTGTTCGTCTGTGAAGAAGTGTGGGCCGGTTCCGTTGATGACACGGGGCTACCATCCCCATGCATGCAGGTCTTATTACTTTGGGTTCACACTGCATATGTGGTGAGTGGTGGGGGCTGTGCGTGTTGCCGCGCAAGCCATCCATGGTCCCTCTGCAGCCGCAGGCGTCGTGTGTGTGCACACAGTGACAGGCAAATCAGTCACACAATGCCCCCAACCATGCAGTTATATATATTTATGTATATATATATATATATATACATATATATATATATGTGTGTGCCCCATGATAACGGTGATGTTGCATTCTTGATGCATCTTCACCGCAGTGGGGATAAACCAACTTACACTGAAACCACGTCTCTTTAAGCTGCATACATTTCACTCCACTTCACTTGGCGACTTTTGACTATGTTAATGGCTTTCCATCACCTGGACACGTCCATTAGGCTAATTACCCTTATCTTCCGTAAATTTTGTTCCCTTTGTAACATTTAAGAACAGCTTGTGGACATTTTCTCCTTATCGCGGATTCTTTGCTAACCCATTTACCTCAATATGCTAATTCTGCGAAGAGTTATTACGCTGCTTCGGTATACTTTATTGTCTTTATGATATTTCATTTAGACATTTTAAAGTGATTACGTGTTGCTTGATATCCACGGTGTGCCTGCGCTTGATGTGCATGTTGCGCATTAGCAAGGAAGCGCGGGCCGGCATAAGGCGGTAAGATACAGAAACTACGGTAAAACGTAGTTGTCATTGATGTAGTGATGCATATATCAATGATGGTATACAAAGGTGGCGTGGCGAACCATGAATACTTCAATTGTTGGCTGGACAAAAGAGAGATGAGGTTACATGATGCAACCTCTGCAAACGGGAGCAGCGCATGCATGCGATATGGTTTCTAATTAGTTAAGAGCCTAGAGACTAAAAAAACAACGCGCAGATAGTCAAATGATTTTAGCGTGCTAACGGGACACTACACAGGTAGCAGAAAATATGGAAAAGCCAGTAAGGAACCTGCACTCCTATTACTTCCATGTTAAAGACAGGTAACTGACAGCTGGGCAGTTATCTAGAAGCGGCTGTGCGCTGACCTGATGACATACAGAACGTCGGCGTAAGAGACCCATAAACGTTGAATGACGAATGAATGAATGACGGAAACCATCCACCACGATGATGGAACGACAACCATGCAAGTTGGACAAATATCGTCAAAAGGTTGAGCATACGCCGAACGATACATGGAAAACGGCATTCCGTATACATTACATCCTCATCTATCGCATCGGCGCCAACTCCCTGTCACATTTTGTGTTACAAAGCACAATTCCGACTGACTGCGGACAATTATTCGCAAATGTCATCCGTACACATTGGCTTGTAGGAAGCTCACCCCGTCAATTACGTTATGCAATCCATGTTAGCAAATGACACCGCTACTAATATGCCCATGTCATACGTCATATATCACTCACACGTGTCTCCTCGTATGCGTGATGTCACGTTCTTCTTATAAACCATGTCATGGTATCCATATGCCTGTATTCTCTATCGAGCAACCAGTCTCAGCAAACTCATCACCTGTATACTGTGCCTAGTTATCCACATCAACCAGCCGTTGCACTTAATGCGCCTTTCCATTGCAGGTACCTGCTGACGCAGTTGTACAGTCATGGTACCCTACTTGTTCCAAGGATCAATGAACCATTTCTCAGGCTTCCCGAATAGTGGGTATGGAGCCTTGAAACACATCACCCACAAGGTCGGGAATATTTGTGAATGGTTTAAACATCATCCACCTGCAGTGTGGCCAATACCCTTCGTGACACAGTTCATACACGGAAGTCAACGAAACTGTTCTCAATACCAAAGGTTAGTAAGGTTCCCTGAGCATCCCATTTTTACCTGTGGCGTGCTGACAATCTATCATCCACCGTCAACGTTCATCACAGTAACATTATGTCACGCTTAAGTTTATTTACAACAATAATTTCCCCGTACTCGTCCCTCCGCATTGCATGTGCACCGACGTTCAGAAATGATGCCTCCGGTCTGCATGGGCAATTATAATAACATGGACGGAGTAAAGCCGTCCAATGCACTGCATACTTTTCAAACGATTCGTTGATTGTTTGTTTCTTGGAATCAAGCATGATGCATGGTAATACAGAAAGCAGTGCACCTGTTTGTTAGGTATACATGAACAGGCGCCCGGTGTCCTCCAAGTGACCATGACACATACCGAGGTTCCATAACACACAGGCAGCACCATAGCCCAAGGTAGACGGTGACTGATACACTGCGTACACCTATTGCCTGTGGTACCAAATCATGGGATTAACCCCTCCCAAAGAAACACCGCGGTGATTCGCGCCGACTTGCACAATTAACCATGCCGGAGCGTCTCCCCACACGTACAGCAGCGGCCATTTGATTAATCATTGATACATCGTAACTGATTACCATTGGTTTGATATCATTACTTATCTAGCAAAGCCCCAGTGGTATGCACAGTGACACACAATAGCGGACGTTAATTAGCTGCTGAGCACCCTATGACGATCAGATTTCACTACTTCTTGCAACATGCCATTCACGGAGCATTGCATTTGTTACTAAAGCGCATTACTCAATAATGTAAACGCAGTGATGATCGGTCGATTTCGTTACGAAGTGGTAAGCAAACAGGATTACTTTAGAAAGCCATCCTACAAACAGGTAAATATTTCCAACCCATCTCACAAGGCATCAGGTATACCAGTGTCCTGCATTATATTTACATATATATATATACATATATATATACGTAAATACATATATACACATGTACCCATATATTCCTTTTCCTACGCCATTTCATGCATACCTATTCGTTGAAGGCATACATCATTATATGCAAGTACACATTGCTTACCCATCTGTGTAGGTATGCATGTATATTCCACCAATGAATACACATGTTCACCATATATATATATATACACAAATATATATAGTTGTGTATTTATATGTTTCTACATATATAAATAGATGTATACAAACATATGACGACAACATAGAAACTGGCATATACATATATACATATATGTTTATATTTATGCATATACATCCATATATATGTAGGTAGAAGGGGTATTATCAGGAGTACCTTTAAAACTATGTCTGTGTATTATTATGCATATATGGGAGCATATATATGGGAGCGTATCCAAAGAGGTACTTGACTTCATTCGCTCCAGTCCGCAAATAAGTGTTTGGTGATGGGCGACTTCAACCTCCCAGAGATTTGCTGGGCAGATCTTTCTTGCGACTCAGCGTCAGGCACATTCGGCGCTGATCTGCTTGAACTTACGCTCCAAGTATCTTTGCACCAGTTCATTGACCTCCCCACTATGTACATGGACGCCCAAGTACCGTCTATCTTAGACCTTGTATTTGCCAAGTCACTCGATTTTGTTGATGACATTACTTACGGACCTCCACTGGATTCCAGTGATCACGTTTGTTTGCTCTTCAGATTGTACTCTGTCTAGACGCTACCAGAGTACTTGTTGAGTCTCGCCGGAAATATGCAGACCAGACCTATCAATCAATGAGACCAAGGCTTCTGGTTTCCATTGTGAGATCTCGACGACGATACTGGTCCGTTGCCTGGGATAATTTTAACTCCCACCTCACAGAGGTCTCAGTGCTGTCTGTCTCTCTCTTCTCTCTTTCCTTCTTCCTCTCTCTCTCTTTCCTCTTCTTCTTCCCTCTCTTTCTTCTTCTTTCTCTTCTTCTTCTCTTCTTCTTTCTCTTCTTCCTCTCTTCTCTTTCCCTCTTCTTCTTCTTCTTCTCCTCTTCTCTTCTTTCTCCCTCTTCTTCTTCTCTCTTTCTTCTTCTTTCCCTTCTTCTCTCCTCTTCTCTCTCCTTCTCTCTTCCTCTTCTTCTCTCTTCCTTTCTCTCTTCTTCTCTCTCTTTCTTCTTCTCTCTTTCTCTTTCTTCTTCTTCTTCTTCTTCTCTTCTCTCTTCTTCTCTCTTCTTCTTCTTCTTTCTCTTTCCTCTTCTTTCTCTTCCTTCTTCTCTTCTCTCTTCTTCTCTTCTTCTTTCTCTTCTCTTTCTTCTTTCTTCCTTCTCTCCTTCTTCTCTCTTTCCTTTCTCTCCTCTTCTTCTTCTTTCTCTCTTCTTCTTCTTTCTTCTTCTTCTTCTTCTCTTCTCTTCGTCTTCCTTCTCTCTATCTGTCTTCTTCTCCTCCTGGTCTTCTGCGTTCCTGACTGTCTCATTCCTATACTTTCTTTCCCCCCCCCTCCCCCCCTCTAGTTCTTCTATCTTCCTGCTCTTCCTTCTGTCTCTTCTTTCTTCTGTCTTCTGAGTGCTTTCTCTCGTGCGTCTTCTGTCCTTAGTTCTCATCTTCTTTCTCTCTCTCTTCGCGTCGTCGCTCTCTTTCTCTCTCTTGCTTCTTCTTCTCTCATTCTTTCGCTTCTCTCTTTCTTCCTTCTTCGATCTTCTTTCTCCTACTCTTCGGTCCTCTCTTCTTCTTCTCTTCATTCTTTGTCTTTCATGCCGGCGTTCCTTCCTTCTCTTCTCTTGTGTCTGCTCCTTCTTCTTACGCTCTTTGGTCTGTCTCATTCTCTTCTGCTCTTGGCCATTCCTTCTATGTCTCCCTCTTCGTTCTTTTCATTCTCTCTGTTCCTCTTCTTTCTTTCCTTCTTCTTCTCTCTTCCTCTATCTGTTCTCTCTCTCTCTGTCTTACTCTCTCTGCTGTCTATGCTCCTCTCTTCTACTTCTATCTCACTTCTTCTGTAGCTTCTTGTCTTCCCTTCTCTCCTCGTCTCTTATCTTCTTCTCTACTTCCTGCTCTCTCTCTGTCGTTGCTATCCTTCTTGTCTTCTCCCCTCTCCGCTCTTCTTATGCCTTCTCTCCTTCTCAGCTATTCTGAAATCTTCTGTGCCTCCACCCCCCCCCCCTCTATCCTCTTCTTCTTCTACTCTTCTTCCTTCTATGATCGTCCTCATCTTCCTTCTTCTGTCTTCTTTTCCTAAAAAAAAAAAAAAATTCTTCTTAATTCTTCGTCTTCTCTGCTCTATCTCTGCCTCTCTTCTCTCTTCTTTCTCTTCTTCAGTGCCTTCTCTCTTCTTCTCTTCATCGCTTGCTTCTTCTTCTTCTTCTCTCTTGCTGCATCTTTCAATACTTCTGCTCGTTCTCTGAAGATCGGTCTCTGCTTTCTCTCCTCTCTTCTTCGCTCTTCTTGCTTCTTGTGCATCTCTATCTTCGTCTCTTCTTTGGTATGCTTTCTCTTCTTACTAACCTCCAGTTTCTTTTCTTTCTCTCTTCCGCTTTGCTCTCCTCTCTACGTTTCTCTCTTACTCTCTCTCTTCTTGCTCGTAGAATCATCCTCATCTCTTTCTTTCCTGTCTCTTCGTCTCTATGCCTCTGCCTCTCTCCTCGTCTTCTATCTTCTTCTCTGGCCTCAGTTTCCTCTCCTTATCCTTCTCCTGTCCTCTTGCTCATACTTCTCTCTTCTCTGCTGTCTTCTTCTCCTCTACTCTTCTCTCTATCTTCTCTCTCTCTTCCTTCTTCTCTCTTCTGCTCTTCTTCTCTCTTCTCCTTCTTCCCTTCATTGCTCTCGTGGAACTTCTGTCTTCTATCTGTATCTGGTGTCATTCAATGCCCAAAATTACTACCTTGCTTTCTCTCTCTGTCCTGTCGTTCTTCCTTCTCTCCTTGCTCTTCATTAGCTTCTTCCTGCTCTCTCTTCTCTCTTGGTCCTCTTCGCTCTTCTTCTCCCTGGCTTGACTCTCTTCCAATTCGTTTTCTTTTTACTTCTGTTCTTGCTGTCTTCTTTCTTCTTATCTTCCCTTCTTCATTTGCTATCTCCAATTTCCTCTCTTCTCTCGTATTCTTCGTTAGCTCTCTTTCTTTTAACTGCTCTCGTTCTTCTGTCTTCTTCTCCCTTGCCCTCCTCTGCTGTCTTTTCTTCTTCCTTTCTCAAAAATCTTTTCTAGTCTCTCCTTCTTTCTTCAATGGTCTCTTCATCTCTTCGCACTCATCTCGCTATCTCTCTCTCTCTTAAGCTCTTCTTTCAAATCTCTTTCTTCTGTACCCCATCTTCTTTTTCTTTTCTTTCTTTACTGTACTCTCTCTATCTTCTTCTCTATCTTCTTCTCCTCTACTCCTGTTCTTCTTGCGTTCCTATTCTCGTCTTCTCTCTGCATCTGTCCTCTCTTCTTCTTCCTTTCATGTCGTTCTCTTAAGCTTTCTCTTCTTTCTTCTAAACGTCCTGTCGCTTCTGTGTCTTCTTCTTCTGTCTCCTTCTGCTCGTCTCTCTCTGTCCCTCTTCTTCTCAGCTTCTCTCGTCTCCTGTACTGTCTCTCTACTTACTTCTATCTACTCTTGCTCTTCCTCTTCTGCTCTTCGTCGTTCTCTTCTCTTCTCTTCTGCGCTTCTGTCCTTCTTCTTTCTTTCTTGCTTCCTGGTCTCCTTCTTTCTATTCTCTCTTTCTTCTTCTTCTGCCCAATTCTTCGTTCTATTGAACTCTATCTTCTCTCTCTCTGATCTTCCTGCTTTCTCTCTTCTCTTCGTCTCTTCTCTTCTTCCTGTCTTCTCTTCTTCTTCTCTTCCTTCTTCCTGCTCTGCTCTACCTCTTCTCCTCTTCTCTCTACTCTTCTGTTCTGTCTCTGGTCTCTTCTATCTCTTCTCTTCGTCTCTTTCTTCCCTAATCTTCTTTCTTTTCTATCACTCATCCTTCTTCTGTCTCTTGTCAGTCCTCTGTCTCTCTTCTCTTCTCTATTCTTCGTCCTTCGTTCTTCTTCATCTTCTCTCTAGTCTTTGCGCTTCTCTCTTTCTCTCTCTTTGTGCATCTTCTGATCCTTCTTCTTCGTAGAATCCTTTCTCTCTCTCTGTTCTCCTTCGCTCGTCTCTACTTCTGTCTAGTCTGCATTCCTTCGTCCCTTCGTTCTTACTTCTCTTTCTGTCTCTTCTTCCTGTCTTTTCTCTCTGTCTCTTCGTCTCTCTCTTCTGACTGTTCTTGTCCTTCTCTCTTCTCGTGAACTCTATCTTCTGTCTCGCTCTTCCTCTCTTATCTCCTGCTTGTCTGTCTCTGTACTCTCTGTCTTCTTGTCTTTCATTCTTTCTTCTCTCTCTCTCTCCTTCCTTCTCTGCCGTCTCCTTCTTCTGCTCTTTCATCTCTGTCTCTCTTCTGTCTTGCTTCTCTCTTCTCTTCTTTCATCTCTCTCTATTACTTTCATCTCATGTCTTCGTCTTCTATCTCCTGCTCTTCTTCTTTCTTTCTTGTCTCTTTTCCTCTTCTCTCTCTGAATCTTCTACCTTCTTTCGCTTTCTTGCTCTTCTCTCCTTCAATACTCTCTCTCTGGCTTCTTCTGTCTTCTCCTCTTCATTCTTCTCTTGGGGCCTACTCTGTCTTTCTTCCTTCTCTTTCTTTCTTCTGCTCTTCTTCTTCTCTTGGATCTTCTTCTTCACGTTTGCTCTCTTGTCTCTCCTTGCTGTCTTCTTGGTCCCTCTTTCATTCTTACTGTCTGTCTGGGGTGGTCATTTACTCCTCATTTCTTCTATCGCTTCCATCATAATCCTTCTCTCGTTTCTTCCGGCAATTCGTTCTTTCGTGTCCTTCTTCTTCTCTCTTCTTTCTCTCTATCCACTCGTCCTTCTTGTCCCCCTTCTCTTCTTCATTCCTTCTTCAATGATTTCTTCTCTCTCTACCTTTCGGTACTTCTGTCTTCTTTCTTCTTTCCTTTCTCTTCCTTTTCTGATACTTCTTCTCTCTTCTTATCTTACTTCTTCCTCTTCTCTCCTTCTCGTACTTCCGTTTCTATACTCTTCTTCCTTCCTTTCTTTCTCTCTTCTTCTATCTCTGTCTCTCTTCTTCTCTTCAATTCATTCTTCTCTATTCTTTACTCTCTTCTTCTTACTGCCTCTCTTTCTCTTCTTCTCTCTTCTCCTCTCTCTTCTTCTCTTCTTCTCTTCTTCCTCTTCTTCTTTCTCTTCTCTCTTCTTCTCTTCTCTCCCTTCTCTCTTCCTTCTCTCTTTCTCCTTTCTCCCTCCTTCCTTTCTCCTTTCTTCCTTTCTCTCTTTCTCCTTTCTCCTTTCTCTTTTTCTCCTTTCTTCTTCTCTCTCTCTCTTTCTTCTTCTTCTTCTTTCTTCTTCTTTCTTCTTCTCTCTCCTTCTTTCTTCTTCTCTTCTTCCTTTCTTCTCTCTTCTCTTCTTTCTCTCTTCTTCTTCCTCTTCTTCCTTCTTCCCTTCTTCCTTCCTCTCTTCTTCTCTTCTTCTTCTTTCTCTCTTCTCTCTCTCTTCTTCTCTTCTCTCTTCCTCCTCTCTTCCTTCTTCCTCTCTTCCTTCTTCCTCTCTTCCTTCTTCCTCTCTTCTCTCTTCTTTCTTCTTCCTTCTTCTCCTTTCTTCTTCTTTCTTCTTCTCTCTTCTTCTTCTTCTTCTTCTCTCCTCTTCTCTTCCTTCTTCTTCTTCTTCTTCTTCTTTCTCCTCTTCTTCTTCTTCTTCTTCTTCTTCTTCTCTTCTCTTCTCTCTTCTCTTCTCTTCTTCTCTTTCTCCTCTTCTTCTTCCTTCTTCCTCTCTTCTCTTCTTCTCTTCTTCTTCTTCCTTCTTCTTCTCTTCTTCTTCTCTCTTCTTCTTCTTCTTTCTCCTCTCTTCTCTCTTTCTTTCTTCTTCTCCTCTTCTTCTCTCTCTCTTCTTTTTCTTCTTCTCTCTTTCTCTTCTCTCTCTTCTTCTTCTTCTCTTCTCTCTTCTTCTTCTCTCTCTCCTTCTTCTTCTTCTTCTCTTCTCTTCTCTCTTCTTCTCTCTTCTCTTCTTCTTCTCTTTCTTCTTCTCCTCTTCTTTCTTCTTCTTCTCTTCTCTTCTTCTTCTTCTTTTTCTTCTTCTTCTCTCTCCTTCCTCTTCTCTCTTCCTTTTCTCTTCTTCCTTCTTCTTCTTCTTCTTCT